ATACTGACTCTCTGTAAACCGCTTAGAGAGGGCTGAAAGCCCTATGAAGCGGTATATAAGTCTAACTGCTATTGCTATTAATACAGATGTGATCTTGATGCAGCAATTTCGATAAGTGATAGATAAATCACCACACGAGGCAATGCTGAAAACCATTTTGTCAATGGTATGTTTTTCTTAAACCTGTTATGGCAGGACAGCTGAAGCATTCCCCATCCCCCGAAATGATTAAAAGAATGTACTCATGTACTTCTGAAGAGATATTGAATTTTGTTCACCATGTAGGAAAGTGTAATTTGTTATATGCATTTTGCAAGATGTGATTTTTTTTTTTAAGATTACAATTTGTTTTGTAATTCAATCAATCTATCAATCCAGATGCTACAATTTAATAACAATGTGCATTTATTGTGTGACTCCTCGGTTTTTTGGTAATGAAAAGTATATGTAATTTGGTGATAATTTTTTGCTGATGATTAATGAATATAGTAAAAATTAGCAATTTGTTTCTGATAACCGAACTCTATATTCATTCCAATGGTCTGATAGTTAAGGCACCAGGCTAGAGAGTGGGAGATTTCGGTGAGTTCAGTTCCTATCTTAGCTATGAAAGCCACTAGTGCAGTGTTTCTCAACCTTGGCAACTTGAAGATGTCCGGACTTCAAAGCATTCGCTGGCTGGGGAATTCTGGGAGTTGAAGTCCGGACATCTTCAAGTTGCCAAGGTTGAGAAACACTGCACTAGGGTGACTTTGGCTCAGTTACTCTCTCAGCCCAACCGCTCTCGCAGGATTGTTGTTGTGAGAAAAACAGAAGAGGGAAGATGTGTTGATTATTTTTGTCATCTTGAGTTATTTGTACAAAAAACAAAGATAGGATGCTAATCAATAAAATAAATAAACAATGATGTCCCCTCTATCTTATATATTTTGTTCTTCTTACATCTTTTTATCAGTTTCATCCTTCATCAGTCGCTCTGCTCTGCTGCCTCTGTGTTAGTTTCCTCTTGCTCTTCACATACAATTACTGTTCTTAATTTTTTTCTGTACTTATTTCCGTATCCACTTTTACGAAGCTCCTGAGTCTGCTACACCTCACTCATACTGCAACAAGAATACCATTCACACATGGTCCCTCATCCAATGCTGCCAGCATCAATTCCTCAGCTCTACCACACACACACACACACACACACACCACATTCATGCAGACAATACCTGCATGCACAGCATTGCCATATTGATGGTGGATATCAGCAACACCAGTCCCTAAAAGAAAAAAATTAAGAACAGTAATTGTATGTGAAGAGCAAGAGGAAACTAACACAGAGGCAGCAGAGCAGAGCGACTGATGAAGGATGAAACTGATAAAAAGATGTAAGAAGAACAAAATATATAAGATAGAGGGGACATCAT